TAGTTACAAAAGTTAAGTAATTAATTTTTTTTATTGTACAACTACAACAAAAAATGAGAAATAAAATAAAATTTAACAATTAACCAAAATTATAATAAATTTTTTCATTTTTAATATTAATAACACATTCATTATTAACTTTATTTTTATAATAAAGAAAGGATAGGGTAATTGAGTCGGGTAACAAAATTTTCTGCTATATATGGATCAAACCCGACCCGACCCGAAGTTTGGATAGCATAATTTCACTAGAGATCGACCTGAAACTCGATCATTTCAAGTTTACCCAACCTGAAAATGCGAGTTACCTAACCCAACGGTTTACCGACATGCCAACGTAAGACCACCTTTAGTGGTGACCCAAACTAGTGGGTCTCCCATTAAAACCAAAAATATATATATATATATATATATAAAAAGAAAGAAGGTCGTGAATTTCACCGACCCAGGTCACATTGTGACCTTGGGTCATGACCTGAAAATGGGACACGTGTCCTATTTTAATTGGATATAAGTGTATTTTTTTATTTAAAAAATTAAAAAAATTATTAAAATTCATATTTTTTCATTATCTACAAATAGAGACCACACTTGATATTTTTGGGAATAAATATATAATTTGTAAATAAATTAAATTAAAATAAATATTTAAGTTGGGTTGAGTTGGGGATAAAGATTAATTAGGTTGAAAGATTAAGTTGTGTATGTGGAGGAGGGAGAAATAATTTTTAATTATTAGGTTGGATTGAGTTGGGTTGGGGATAAAGATGGTTTATATGTGTAAAAAGGGTGCCTCAGTAATCTTTTTAAGAAGTTAAAGGCCCAATTAAGAAATGAGGCCCATGACTGCTGATGGGTTTTAGGTTAGGGTTTAACAGTTTTTCTTCTTTCGAGTTTCTTGAGCAAAAATCCAGTGGTTGCTACAAAACCCTTCTTTCTAGATTATTCAGACTCCATTCGTAAACGACCTTGTCCAAGTGAGAAGCTAAGCTTTAAAGAAAACTAGAAAATGAGCCAAGCTGCCGCGTCCTTTCTCACCAACATAGCACGCGCCGCCTTCAGCCTCGGGCTAGGCGCCACCGTCCTCAATTCCTCTCTCTACACCGTCGACGGCGGCCAGCGAGCCGTTCTCTTCGATCGTTTCCGAGGAGTCATCCCTGACACTGTCGGTGAAGGAACCCACTTTTTGGTCCCATGGCTTCAGAAACCCTTCATCTTCGACATCCGTACTCGCCCGCACACCTTCTCCTCCGTCTCAGGTGAAGTAGCGTATTTCTATCATTTTGCTTTCGATATTTTGATACTTTCAGGCAATCGGTTAGATCCTGATGTGATTTATATATTTCTTCGTTAGTGCAATTGACCGAAGCTAGAATTGAGCCCAATTTAAAGTGTATTCTAGATGTGCTTCGATTTGATGTTTTGATTGAATCTCCTATCTTGCCAGTTGCCACAAAATATTTGTTATAGTGGCATACTATTGCTATCTTTCCATTATAGCTCGATTTTGAACTTCCTCATCAATTATGGAGAGCGATTTGCTTTTTCATGTTAAATATAAGGGCAGTTTCAGACAAACATGGGTACCTTTTCCACATAAACTAAAAGAAAGCAATTCCATATCTTAATATCACCAGGTACAAAAGATCTGCAGATGGTGAATCTGACCCTCCGTGTCCTCTCCCGTCCGGAGGTGACTCGGCTGCCGGACATCTTCAAAACCCTAGGTCTTGAATATGACGAGAAGGTCCTCCCGTCCATCGGCAACGAGGTGCTCAAGGCCGTGGTGGCCCAGTTCAACGCTGACCAGCTGCTCACTGAACGGCCTCATGTGTCGGCCCTTGTCCGCGATAGCCTGATTCGCAGGGCAAAGGACTTCAACATTGTGCTTGATGATGTGGCAATCACCCATTTATCGTACGGAGCTGAGTTCTCAAAGGCCGTTGAGCAGAAGCAGGTGGCCCAACAGGAGGCGGAGAGGTCCAAATTTGTGGTTGCAAAGGCCGAGCAAGAGAGGAGGGCCGCAATTATCAGGGCTGAGGGTGAGAGTGAATCGGCTAAGCTTATTTCGGATGCGACTCAGGCTGCCGGCATGGGTCTGATTGAGCTGAGGAAGATTGAGGCTGCCAAGGATAATGCGTCCACTATGTCTAGGAATGGGAATGTGTTGTATCTCCCTGGAAACAACAACATGCTTCTTGGGATCAATCGTTGAAAACGAGGTATTATGTTATTTGTGGATTGGTTTTCGTGTTGCTGTCTTTTACCTCTGCATTATTTGTTTGCCAGTGGAGGGTTAGTGGGGTGTCTCTTGAATGATTTAGTCGTCCGCTACTTGATGCTCTGGCCTATATTTTTTTATAATCAATTGAATTTGTCTTGCGAATGGATATCATTTTTGAGTCAATGAAGGTGTGGGAACTTCAACTTGAACTTTAGCGTATTTTAGTTGTGAGTGTTGTGTTAGCTGTGTCGTGTTTAAGTTTTTCCTAAGTTGAGTGTCTATCATGAATTATTAGTCCTTCTAGTTTTCAGAGAGAGGACTTCATATTGTGTCAACAGTAGCTTCTCATCTAAGATCATACTTGGACCAATTTGTCATTTAAGATTTGTTGTTTTTTCACATGATTACTGTCAATATTTTGCTTCGGTATTAGGACCAGATATCACTCTGTTCTTTTGCTTAAGATGTCTTTATCTATGGATGGTTTTCTTTGCGCTGGGATCAGATTGCTGCTGTTTTTCTTGCTATTATAACTGTATCATATCTCCACAAAGAATGTTGGTTTTCCTTTTCATTTGGTTTGGAGAAACGTGAATCATTTTATGTTCCTAATTTACCCTTTCAAGTCATAAATTTTATCTTCTATGGATTTAATTTTTTATACCCTTGCAAATTATAAAGGGCATAGAAGTTAAATTGATTTAATTAATCTGTTTAAAGAAAAAGGTTGTGCCTTTATGGAACAAATGAGAAATAGATACCCTAGTTATTCTTTGTGGGACGAAGAGAATACAATTATTGTGAGTATATTTATATCTATTCATTATTGTAATTACAACACATAGGATTTGAGGTTTTTTGTATAAGGAAAAAAGGGCATATAACTCTTTTATTGTTGCAGGATGTAAGTAGGAACCAAAATATTTTATGGTGCTAATTTTGTCGACTGGACAATAGTTTGATTACAGACATTTTTTGGAGATCCTTTAGTTCTCTTGCGTGTACGGTGATGACAATATATTGTTGATGCCGGATAATTTTTCCAACTATTCCGAAATTTGACTTTTCTGATATTTATGTTTTGGCTTCTCCCGGAGAAGGTCTATGCCAAAACTCTTCCACCCTTATATTCCTTTATGTTAAACACTTTTAATTTTATTTCTCATGATTAACCTTTTCTTGTTTCTCTTGATTTAGGATGTAAGGCGCCGTACGCTCCCCTGGATCTTTTGAGTTGATTGGACGGATTAACACCAAAATGTCTATTTTATTTGCTTTGTTCGAAATATCTTTGATTAAGTTGTATGGATATCTTGATGAAACTGGATTGTGAATGGTTTATTATGAGTGTATTGGATGCTGGGGAATTGCTGTTGCTTGCTTTGGTATCACCTCCCAACTTCCTATCTATTGTCTATATTATTTCACCTGCAATTTGTGTCAAACCATCTGTATCATCATAAATCCAGCTGAAATGTCAATTTTTCCTGCAGGACCTTCAAATTTAACAGCCTATTTTTAGCCAACCCTAGGACAATTATTAAACGATCTCTTTTTTATTCGTTTTCTCTACGGCTACTCACTCTTCGAGTATCTTCATGTTTTAAGTCTGTATCCAATGAACATTCCGATTTCAGGTTTTAGGCGTTTAACATTATCGTTTTTTTTTTTTTTTTCTCTCTAGCGCTCACTTTCCCCTTTCTTTCGCTGCTCTGTGACGTGGTGTGTCACTGTACTTGTTAATATGTATGCACATCCATGGTGTATGTTCCGGTAAATATGGCCGGAAAGAGACGGCATGGTCATCGGCAAATTGGTGTTTCTGGAAAGATATCACCCAAAGATATTAGAGGAGATTAGTACTCGTTTGAAAACTAGATGCGTAGGATGTACAATGAAAAAATTTAGTAGTCATGAGACGAGAGAAGTATAGATCCTTCTACATGGAAACTAAAATTAACAAATATGGTTGCGTGAAGGTTGCCTTATGCTGTCTATTATGACACACAAAAGGGTGGTTATTGAACCATAAAATTGGTTTTACCAGAATTACCTTGAAAAACTAGATTTTATTTTTTATTATTTTTTTATTTTTTTATTTTTGTGCCAAATAACAAACAAACCAATTTATAAAAACTCATTCCGAAATGTACAATAAACGTGCAACCAACTGATTACATAACGTAATTCATGTTATCTATCTAGTGAGTTCGGACTTCAGCCGCAGCATTCCCCATTATGCAACTGATCTAAAGGAATGGGGTGAGTTGGGCAATATCTCTTCTCCCAGGCCCCTGATCCACGCTTCTATTCAGAAATTAGGACCGACATCCTGCATAAAACATAACCTAAAGAGGCTATAAAAATAGAAAAAAGGGGGGAATAAATCATATTTTTTTCTTCAAAGTCTTCTTGGCTAACAAGAAAGAAACATTACAAGAACCCAAGTCCACAACGAAACAACAAGAACTAAAACAATTCATTAATACAAAGATATCATTAAATATAGCGGCAACTGCAGAAGGGGTGGATTACTGGAATTGGACAATTGAACCATGGCAGTAGATTTCCCACAATAGCACAAGAAATTTTCACATACTTCGATCAGTTTTTGCAACCTCCACCCGATTGCTTTGATGGTCGCCTTCTTCGTTGATCACGTTATAAAGACCTCCTTCCAGCTATAAACCTGTTGCCCTGTCTTTTCCCAATGCACCCTACCCCTGTTGAGCCATCCTTGGACATGTGAGCACTGTCATTAAGTACAAGTTGTCCTATCCTCACATCTGTTACAACACTTCTGGTCTCGATAGATGAAGCCCTAATCACTGAAGCACTTTATTCTTCAGAGAGGATTGAGTTGAACTCTAACTGTTGGTGTGTATACTGAAAGTTTGACTTTTTTGTTAACGCTATTCCCGTTTGAATGAGAATTCATCATTAATTAAACAAATTTTATGTTTTGTTGTTTTGCACTTAGGTAAATAGTTCATCATAGATGGACAAAAGATGATTTATCAGTTACTTGCGAAACATCAAGAAATTGGTTCATCGCCTAGATGGAAATTGAATAAGCCATCGGAAGAGTTGCAGTATCAACGGTACAGTTGGTCTTGAATGATGAATTGCACTAGGATATGATAGTGTATTGAACAAGATCCCAGATATGAGTAGTTTGTTTTATATTGATTGTCGTAAACGAACTAGGCCTCGACTAATTACTACATTCTCATAACCCATAAGATATAAACAGGCACATGTATGTAATAGTTGCTACTTTGATTGAACAAGGTGAGGTTTATTGACATGGACCAATAACTTTCTGTTTTGGGTAGTGATTGTTGCATAACATGGTTCACTGTCATAATATTTACAGTCACCGTGGACTTCACAAAGTTGAGGTTTAATGATGTTCCCGAAGTGAGCTCGGAAGGATTATTATGTTAATCCTGACCAGTGGAATTTATTTCGACATAATAATAATGTATTGAGTGGTGCTAGCTTCGGCTCAAGAAGTTGATTAGTAAATCGAGTAATTAGAATTGAAGCTCAAATGTAATTTGGGAATTAAGTTGAGAGTATTCAATAATACTACTTTAATGGAATGACTGTATTATTCATATTTGGCTTTGTAGGATTGACATACAATCTAGTTAAAAAACTCAATTTAATGTCTCCTTAGGGTCTCTAATACATAACATCTCCTGAGGTTGGGAAAAGAGAGAGACACCCTAACCATTGTTTTAAATAGCTTGCTACGTTGCTCGTTATAGATAGCTATGTAGCTTTTTTTAAAAAAAAAAAAAAATACGACATAACGTTATATATTTAGCATTTTTCCCCAAAAGCTTAAGCTAAATGTTGAAACAACATGCTTTTTTTACGTTATTTTGCGTTATTTCATGCTATTGTGCGCGACATTGCGATATATTTCTGCAAAGACATTTAAACGATAAAATATTCTAGAATTCATAGTTTTTAGGGACTAGACTCATATTTTTAAATGACAACTAAAAACTAAACTTTTGATGATGATTTTAAATTAAAAGTTTAGAAATACAAAGTCCTAAGTTGAATAGTGCAATATTTATCTGTCCATTTTTATTATATCATTTTAATTTCGATATATAACATTTAAATAAAGAATAAAAGTTCATATATAGTGGTTAGAATTGAGTTGTAGTTACATAAAAATAATAACTAAAATGCATATACTTAAAATTAAACTATGACTTACCTCATTATATTTTCGTTGTTTGTTTTTACTTTTTAGTATGTTCGTTTTATTATTTAAATATTTACATATGATATTTACATTATAACATTTGTGAGAAATAATTCTTATATAGATGTTATTTTTGAATTCATTTAAATATTAAGATAATTTTTAGAATCAACCATATAGTTTTATTATATGCAAATATATTTATATACAAATAATTTTTTATACTCAAATAGCTTACGAAACACACAATGTTATATAAAAACGCGACGCATTACGAGTGCGCATTTTAAAACACTGACTGCATCTAACACACGCTGACGCGCATGAAGTAGCCCGCCCCCTTCCTCTTTTAAATAAAAACTAAAAAATAGATAAAATGCATCATTAAATTTTATACACCACATTAATTATTAAAATATAAAAAAAATTATTTTATACACCACATTAATTATTATAATATAAAAAGTTTATAAATAAGAAGCATTTGGATACAAATAAAAAAGAAGGAAAAAAGAACGTCAATTCTACCACGATCATACAGAAATAAAAACGAGCGAGATTAAAGTGTCCATATAATTTTGTTTCATCTCTTTCTATTTATATTCGCGTGTTATTATTTTTTTCTTGAAAATCCTATCATCACCCTATAAAAAAAAAATAGAACAACTTTTTGCTATATTTGGTAGAACTAACTGATAAGCTAGCTTATAACTTATTAGTAATTTTCGAGCTTATAACTTACGACTTATAGCTGAAAAATAGCTTATATGATTAAAGTGTTTAATAAAATTAGTTGATAAGCTACCTGAAACAAAAAAATTCAACTAGCTTATCGAGTTTTTTGAAAAGGCATGTCCTACTAAACAAGACTTATTTGAATACAGAGAGCTTATAAGCTAATCAAACAAGCTATAAACTAATTTATTTGTCTACAAACATAGCCTTACTCGTTAGCCTCAAATTTAGTATTTTCCGTTTGCAAATCCATAGACATTGACCCATCTTTTTAGCCTGAGACTTATAAAACTAGAGAATTAAAAATTTTTAACTTTTTCTAGAATCCAATTAACCTATATCTTTGATGACTTGAATTGTTAAAATATATTTTAAATACACCCTTGCATTTACACTGGCATCGATACTACTACAAGTCTACAAGTAACTACTCAACGAGTTCGAAAGGCAAAACAGTATCAATTAGGGAAAAAAAGGTACTGGTTATAAAAACGCCCGAGGGCCAAATATATTCCGTTCAACATAACGTCGATTAGAATTCTCCCACAAAACAACGGAACAAAATAACAGCATCCCGGAAAGAATGTGTGCTCAGTTATTAGAATTCTCGCACAAAACAAGGGAACGAAACAACCTCATCATAGCTACCAAAAAGACAGAAATTAGCAGGAAAAGGGAGGTGATTTTCCCTTTGCAGCAGCTCATGCAACAGATGCCATGTGACGGATCAAGTCGACGACTCGGTTGCTGCAGTACATTCAAAATAACATTAAAATCCGGACTGAGAACAAAAACATCTCTAATATGTAAAGTTAAAAATACATGTCAGCATACCTGTAACCCCATTCATTGTCATACCAAGAGACAACCTTCACAAAATTACCATTGAGGGCAATTCCAGCCTTAGCATCGAAAATGCTAGACCTGACAAATTAAAATTATTCTGTCAGGATAACAAAAATGAGGAGCTTCGATAAGGACTGTTCCATCTATGAACACATTTCCAACAATCGTTCAAATATATGGAGGAAAACACCTCCCGATGATTACATACTGCTTATAGAGACAAATGGAAGACAGTTTATATAATACTTATAATACTAACAAACGCCAAGGGTATTGGATCTGGATACTTTGTATTTCATCCTTGTGAATTTTCTTGGAGCAAGAAATATACATTTCATACACAAATACAACACCTATCCACACTCCTACACAGCCGTTATGTTTCTCAGCTTTTGCATACTCTAGAGGATTTATTTTTGTAACATAACTGGTTTTTTGTTCGTTAAATCAAGAAGCACCTCACAAGATAATTTTTTGAGTAACCCAAGTTTCAAGGGCACGAGATGGTAACAGATTCTTACCTGCAATCACCTACAAAGTCGGTTGATACGACATCATCTTCGGTGTATCCTAGGATTCCCTTCAAGTTAGTCTCAGACGCATTCCTGGATACCGACAAACAAGATGGATTTTATGAGTTATTCACGTGAGAAACAAAATAAAGGTCCAAAATAACCAGTTTCTTACTTGATAGCAGCTTTAATTTCATCATAGCTAGCTGCTTTCTCAAGCCTTGCAGTTAGGTCAACCACCGAGACATTGACAGTGGGAACACGGAAAGCCATTCCAGTAAGCTTTCCGTTTAGAGCAGGTAGAACTTTCCCCACTGCCTGTAGAACAGAATATACAATATTAAAAAAAAAATCACGGTGCCATCTAGAATCTGACTCAATTAAATGAATAGTACTGCAATAATGGTTAGCCATGAAAGTAAAAGCATATAAAGCACAAACCTGTGCCTTTTATCATGAACAAGTCATGTAGCGGATTTAAAAATTGCACCCAATATTTGATATATTAGGGACATGCTTTAATCACTTATGATAAACATAAACTAACATGCAATTACTTGCACAACAACAAAACTAAACATGTTCTAGAACTTGCTAAAAACTGGTCAGTCAATGAGTCAATGAACCTGATTCATTAAGTAAAATGCATTTTATGGTACCTTAGCAGCTCCAGTGCTACTTGGGATAATATTGAAGGAAGCAGCTCTTCCACCTCTCCAGTCCTTCATTGATGGACCATCCACAGTCTTCTGTGTCGCTGAATTACATTACGCAAAAAGGATATCAATGATTAAGCTATAACCATGTAAATGAAGGAAAAGTCGTATATACCATTTTTGAACTAACCAGTTATAGAGTGGACAGTGGTCATCAACCCCTCAACAATTCCAAAGCTATCATTAAGAACCTGTAAATAAGATATCAGAAAAATATTCAATCTTGATTCTTGATATATGTTGAATTTTCTGAGAAATAGCACACATCGGGAAAAATGTAGAAAGAAAATGCAGACCTTAGCCAATGGAGCTAGACAGTTTGTAGTGCAACTAGCATTTGATACAATGTCGAGATCTTTCTTGTACTCCTTCTCATTGACACCAACAACAAACATGGGAGCATTATTGCTTGGTGCAGAAATCACAACCTTCTTTGCACCGCCCTGGAAGCCAAAAACAAAGAAACACGATAAATACTTAATGTAATGAACATTACAACAATGAAAAGGGAAATGAGATACCAAATGGATACATTGAAAATTGGGTAGCTATTTAGGAATATATATGACATTCAAATTAAAGAGTTCATATTATACACCTTGAGGTGTGCAGCAGCCTTGTCCTTGTCGGTAAAAACACCTGTGGACTCCACGACATATTCAGCTCCAGCCTCAGCCCATGGGATCTCCTCTGGGTTCCTATTCACAAGGAAAATTTGTAACTACAAAAGAGTTGGACAAACCAAAGCTGAAAAATATAGTGAAGGAGTACCTGGAGCCAAAGACAGCAACTTCCTTGTCACCAAAGAGAAGGGTCTTCGAGTCCTTAACCTTAAGGACATCCTTTTTCCATTGACCATGAACACTGTCGTATTTGAACATGTAGGTCTACAACACGACAGCAACCACAACGTTGCAATTAGATTGAGACACTAGAAGCAGATGAACTTAATACACGAGGCACATTAGAAGAACCATACACAACAGCGTGAACCACATCATGAGCTTTATATATAATTTTCTTTTAATGGCCCTCTAGAGCTAGTATGAAAGTTGATGTAGCATACATGTAAAGAGATGGTTGAGAAGGATATTTTTCTTTTAACCAAAAAAAGTTATCCTCCAAATTCTAGAGTTTATAGTTTTTTTGCAGTACCCATTTCACATAGCTCAATTCATGGGTCATTCATTTCATAAATACAGCGTCTGATTTGCAAGAAATATCACAAAATCCAACTATTTGGTCACTATGTTAGTAAATAAAAAAGCAGCACAACCAAATGGAGATGAACCCAGAATTTTATATGCAATACATACATAAAGAAAAGCCTAAAACAAAATATAATCGATGCGCACACACACACACAGGGAGACAGAGAGAACGAGAGGGTGCATTTACCATGTAATCGGTGGTAATGAATGGATCATTAACAGCAACAAGCTCAACATCATCACTCTGCAGAGCAACCCTAGCCACTAGACGGCCGATCCTTCCAAACCCTAGCACATAAGCAATTCGATCAAATCGCTGAGATTAGACGGGATCTATTATCAAAAATTCCTACTGCGACGCATAATCTAAACTAAAGGAAAAAAAAGAAGAAAATTGCAGAGTTTCACACAAGAAAGATAGTTACCGTTGATTCCGATCTTGATCTTGGCCATGGCGATGAGCAAATGTGAAAGCAATGGGCAATAGAGAGTAGATAAAGAGTGAAAGTGGTGTTTACAGTGTGTAGGGTTGTGAGGCGTGGGTGCTTATATATATAGTCGAAGGAAGGAGTGTTGAGATCCAAAAGAAGGGTGAAGGCGGAGATGTCGAGACCTGAGAAGGTGGATAGGCCCCACTACGTTAGCGGCTTTCTTGGGGAATAAGAACTCTCGCACGTGGCTCTCACGTGAGTTGTAGAGTAGATAAGTAGTAGTAGATTATTAACTAAAAAAAAAATTAAAACAATGATTTTTTTTTCCACAACGATAGAGATAATATATAAAAGCACAAAAGTGCAAAAGGAACAAAGTACAAGACTCCAACAGGGTAATTTAAAGGCCCCAACAGGGTAATGAGACAGGAACCAAAAACACACCTAAAAACAAACATGAGTAAAGACTGAGAGGACACGCACTAGGCGGCCTAGAAAACTCCAGAAACGAAAATAAAACGATGAAAATCAGAACCACTGCACAATGCCTAGCCTGACTTCATTTCCGAAACAAACCAAAAAAACGGACACTAGACGCAAACAACACGAACTAGACTACACACCACGATCAAACACAAAGTAAAACGAGATTAAACAAAATAAAACCTACGAGATCCATTCCCACAGCACAAAGCCACACCTAGTACAACCGTGGCAGAGTCGAGCCCAAAATCCCGAACCAGAAACAGCAGAGACGCCTTACTGAATCGAGGATCCACGGGTTGGCCCAACCCTCGTCCAAGCGAACAGACCCCACTATCACCCAGAGAAAAGGCATCTGGCCAAACAGAAAGCCTCAGCCCGACAATTACCGACGACTCCGAGCCATAGCAAGCAGCCCAACTCGATAATCGCCGACAACCACACCGCGCAGCCCCGACCCAATAATCACTGACGACCTCACCATCAACACGCAGCATCGTACCTGGAATTGCCGAATATCCGCGGCTCGAGCAGAGCGGAACAACCCGATAACCCGACAATCACTCTCCGCCACACCTCCAAATCAAACCAAAAGTCGCCGGCGACCACTGAAACGGGGCAGGAAGAAGCAATTTGACCGGAACCCATCTCCACCCCAAACACCAAATCGGAATTTGGGGTCGCAACCCCCTCCAAAAGAGCATCGGAGGGCCACCGAATGGACAAAACCGGAGGAGAAAACGACCACCCAAACCTTGCTTCCAGCACCAGAGACGGACGCCGGAAGAACAGGGGAAAGAGGCATGGTCGTACCCCCGGCGAAAAGGAACCCCCTCCCCCGCGCAACGCTACTTTCGGAAAAGGGTTGCGAGGCTCAGGGGAGCCGCCACCCTGCACTCGCCGCGCCCAACCGGGGAAGGCGACGGCCAATCGACGGAATTCAAAGGAGGGAAGGAATTGATGGGCACCGAAAAATTGAGTTCAATTAAAACAATGATAAATATAGTATTTTTATTTTTTATTTTTCCAAATTATGTCAAACTAGAATGATGTAGATCGTGTACTGATCTATTTGAATTTGAGAAAATCCGTGTTGTCGATCGTCGGTTAACACAGAGAAGTTTTGTTCGAACGCGAACGGTTTTGTTTATTTCACGAGTTATTCAAATGAATAATACAAGAGGTTTAAAGAAAGGAACCTACAAAAATTGCAACAAGAGTCCTAAGAAATATAAATTAACAAAGCAAAATAAATAGGAAGATTTGTTGACCAAGTCCTCGTTCCCGTCAGACCTTCGCGGCGTGAACTGTTTCGCGGCATGAGAGAATAGCTGACCAAATCAGCATTCATGTTAGCTTGTCTCGGTGCTACCAGCAAGCGCGAGGCTTCATCATCCTACAATCTTTGTTGACCTGCGGTGTGTGTCGCGGCGCGAGGGGAGGCGACAGTCTTTGCGACGCGGCGCGAAGACCTGTCCACCATCATTGTGTTTGTCCAATTTTTGTTGATATTTTCGTTATTGGTTTGCTTATATTTTTATCACATTTTATGTATTTTCTTAGGTTTTCCACGTGCTTGATTTTATTCTAGTTTTCCAGTGTTTACTTTTGTTTTCTCCATTTTCGTGTGCTTTCATGTCTTTGGAGGCGTGCAGACTTGAAATTTTGTCCAGGTGTTTAGATATTCAACCAATCTTAGGAGAAAGTAGTCATCCCAGTGGTGCAAGTACATTTATCTAGAAAGGTTCGTTGGCGACGAGTAGGAAGTAACGGAACTCAATTCTAAGTACGTTCGAGCCCGTAGCTCATATGTGCGCAGCCATCACCCAGCAGCCTCGTGCACACCCACTCACACCCCACGCGCGCCCAGGTTTCCGCGGCCTCTCTGCGTATGCCCCGAGAACATCCAGGCCTCGCACGGTTTCTACGCGTACGCCTTGCGCACCCTCGTGCACAACGCTCAGGTCTCGTGTTGTCTCCCCGCGACCTGCAAAAATTTCAGAGCCTAGGTCTTCCCTGGCGCTCCCAGCATCCGTGTCCCGCGGCAGTCTCGCTACCTGCGACCAGCAGTTCTCCGCGACTCGCAAACAGACCCGCAAAACGAGGGTCGTCGCGACTAGTTTTCAAAATTTGAATTTTTAGGTCAATTTTTTAGGGCTATTTATTGGGATTGGTGCCCAACCCTAGAGAAACACTTCCACTTCGCTTTTCCTCTGTGGGTGACATCCAACAACGATTTGTAGATAGTTTCTTAAGATTATTTTTTTCGCTTTTCTTTTTCTCTCATGCTTGAATTGTTGGAAACAAAAACATTGGGATTAAACTCTTGAAATTCCGAATCCGGTTGTAAGCTTTCAATTCTATATATTATTATTGTTGATTGGGTTTATGTTCCTTGATCTAATAAACATGAAATTGAATCCAAGAATGAGGTAATTCATTCACCCATGGTTAAGGATTTTGATGTGTTTTCTAAATTGTGTTGAATGTGTTTTGTTCAATCTATGCGAGTTTCTTGATTGTTAGGGTTAGTTAATTGTTCACGTGCTAGGAAAATGATTTTTATAACCGAAATGGGAGAAGTTGTTGAACCTAGGCTCGTATGAGGTGACATTATTCCAATCAAATAAACGACTTTTAGAACAAAGAGGGGATGAATTGTTCGACCTAGGCTCATGTAGAGTACATTTGTTTGTAAAATTATTGTCTATGTGTTACTTGATTGAATAAGTTTGTCGTTTATGTATGTGCTCCTGTTATGAAAAGTTATTGAGAATAAACCTTTAGACGTGTAGGCTTGTTGAATCATATAACCGAACAAATAAGCTCTCAACATAGTTTAGGACTAGATGAGATTTCCCGATCAATAGAACTTCTTCTTTTTCTTTAGGCGTGATTTATTTGCTTTTCTAAATCTAGTTAGTTTTATTCAGTTCACCAAATCAATAGTGATTAGTGTGTTTAGGAATTATTTTGCGTTTGTGTGCGATAAACATCGATTCTAGATTCCGAACCGCCTTTCTCGCACCGAGGTTGAGATTCATCCCGTACTCTGGTTAAAATATAATTTGCTACAACAAATTTAGCGTCATTTCTGGGGAAGGCAAGTCAGATATTTAGTTTTAGTTTGATTTTATTTTCTTATGTTTCTCTTATTTTGTGACTTGCGTGTTTGTGTTATGTTTCTTGTATTCTGCTTTTTACATTGTTTTTCTTTCTCGTTTTATTTTTCGTAACTTCGTGTGGTTGTTTTATTCTTGTGTGCAGGAAATTATGACCGAGGGGCTCAATGAACCCAAATTGTGTGGTCTCCTTCTCGTACACTGCCTCGTAGAATAATGGGTCAAGCTATGTCCTTCATGTACACTCATTTGTGGAATAATAGACCAAGCTATAACTTTGGGCACTATGTCTAATCATATCCATACCCTTCCGAGAAACGATGGGACTCGGTCCTGGTCGTGCAGCTTTATGAGTTCCACAAGGCACCCTCAGAGTTTAATGAGAAGCTCGAACGAATTTTTGCTATTGCGAAATTCCAATTAACTCAGGAAGAAGAAATTGCAGCTGTTGCCAAAGACTATCGGATGAGTTGCCCGATCTGCTCTAACTGCCAGTCGTACTGACCGATCTGTCGAAACTGCCCAATTCTGTTAGACCACGTGGTCCTTATCCTGCTAAGATTCCTTCTTTTCAACTAGTTTATCGTATTAGACTATCTAATTATGCTACCAGCTCGACTCCTGTCGAGATAGAATGTTGTCACTTTGAGTTCCTGTTCTATCCTTATGGTTGATGTCACGACTAATCGTATCTTCAAGTAGATTTTCCATCAGGTCATCCGAGAGTCCTAGCTCGACCTGTCAGTGTCCCTTAGAACCTCCAATGCGTTCCTTGACCTGTGGGCTCTTTGTTTCGTACCGCTATTCGACATCCATTCGACCTGCCTGTGCTCATGATCGACAAGCCAATCCAACCGGCCTGGTCACCCGATTTGTTGGATTTGTTCTACCTGTTATGGTATCAGAAAAATTAAGTTTGGAAAGTAAATTTTATCATTAATTATATCTTCGTAGTTTTTGAAAGTTCAACTATACATGTGGCGAACTTTTGCCAAATATGTTATTTTGACTTCAAACTAATTTAGAAGCGTTTCATGTAAGCAAGATTTTTTTATTGGAAAACCATAAATACAAACCTTTTTATATTTATTGATATATATATATATATATATAGATTAAAAGCAATACAAAAATATTATTCGCACTCAAGGGCTCAACATTTTTCATTACATCAAGTCATCAAAGCATTGCATCAATCACGCCTCCACTTTTATTATCTTCCAGACAAACATAATTTTATTGCATTTTAAGATACATCATAATGCCACAAATTTTTCAAACATGAAGTTCTCAGCTCAAGGCTGTAACTTTGCAGAAATCAAGATAATCACAAGGTTGGGGGGATCCATATGTAGCCATGTGTTTGCACGTAGCCTGCCTTTTCTAACAGCTCATCCGCTTGGGCCGGGCCCCGGCTACCGGGCTTGTAAGGAAGAGATTTAAACTCTCCATTGTCTATTTGGTGCAGAAGTGGAGTGAAAATCTCCCATGCAGCCTAAGAAAATTATACCAGTAAATATAAAGTCAATACATGAAATGAGTGATGAGTCTCATAACAAGTATTAAGTTTGTTACCTTCAACTCGTCCCTACGGACAAAATGTTGTTGATCGCCTTTAATCCTGCAAATGGCACAGAAACGTTTATGCTATACAAATTATGGGTGTCCCATTTTTGTTAGCAGGATTTCATTTTTGCTATCATTTTGATTTGATTAATAGGTATTATACACTGCCCGGGCTGATTACTAAATAAATAAAATAAAATATAAGCAGCTATCCGTCAGAAAGGCTATCACTTGTAATTTTTAAGTAAAACCTCCCGGTTGGAATTAGAATTATGGCCTTAGTAAAACCAGAAAGTAAAATAAGAATCACGAGTGTAATGACCACATGTCCTTACGTGTCTAGAATTAGGCGTTCGTAAGCCTCGGGAATCACAACCCCTTGGTAGCGTTGCCTGTATGACAAGTCCAGCTCGCTCTGGGCGGTTGACATTTCCAGCCCAGGCTGTTTGACCTGCATGAAATATGAAGAAAAATGGGTCAATGATAGTAATTATGATACGCAACAGTATTGAGGTAAACATACTGTTAGCTTCATGTATATGGCCTCTGAAGGTTGCAGGCGGATCACAAATTCATTCCTTCCCTGCTTTTGACCTGCGTGGATTAGATTTCATTAGATTTACCCAGTCCAGAGATTGAGTTGAAAGAAGCCTACTTGATATCAAATTGGCAAATCGAAAGAAAAATCACAGACTTGGAAACAACATATGAAATTTCACGTGGCTTTCAACAAATTTCCTGGAAGGTGATGTACTTCAATAACCAGGATTCGGTCTCTCAAATTTGTTCTTTGACGGCAATTAGTTACAGATACAACTTAAATGCAAACTTAGTTAATTTGAGAAATTGTGAAGGTTTAAATTAGCATTACAAAACATTTGGATACTTACATCTAAAGATATCACCGGGTACATCCTTGAATTGAATCCGTATTTCTGCTTTCCTTGAATTCAAGGCCTTCCCTGCCTTAAGTATAAAGGGAACACCTACAGCAAATAGTAGTGGTCATTGGAACAATTTGATCCATCATGGAGAATAATATATAAACGAAGTTAAAAAATGCAGACAGTTTGGCTACCTTCCCATCTTTCATTATGTATACGAAGGATCATTGTTGCAAAAGTAGGAGTATTTGAGTTGGCTGGAACTGTAGGATCATCCTTGTATCCTTCATACTGTCCTAAGACCACCTCTTCATTTTTTATTGGGACAACTGATTGGAGAACCTGAATTCCAATTAAACGGTTAAATGAAAGGTGAAATATCTCCAGCAGTAATGAGCAGGCACACCGAATTTAAGTACACAATATCCACAAATCAAAAGCAAACACAGCCAATGGAACAGAAATTCTATGATGATTCTTTCAAGTCCAGGATAGCAGAAATGGAGCTCCAGTTAACATTCATTGAACAGGTAATACAGCTGACAATAGCTAAATTCAGAGCTAAATCTATGGAGTTCATGGTAAGAGGGCAATCCTCAACATACCTTGACTTTCTCATCTCGAATATGCTCAGGCTTCAAAGATACAGGCTTTTCCATGGCGACAAGGCACAGAACCTGCAAATTTAAACATTCTCAGGTTGACAACATTTGTAAGCCAACAGGGTGAGGTGTTAGTTGAAAATCAAATCATTTACTTCAGGTTCAATGTTAACAGGAAGGAACTGATAAAAATCATCGAATGGAGATTAATTTTAAAATATGGAAAGTGATTCTTTTACAATCAAGCATAATTAAACAGTTAATTAATTCAGAAATTCCATAACTAAAAATTGTTATTATGCAAACAGGACCCCTTATATATTCAAACGAAGGCTCACCTGCAGTAGGTGATTCTGGATAATATCACGAATAATTCTGCGCAGCAGGCAAAGTAAAAAGTTTATACATCTACCAAATTTCAAGGAAGAGAAAACAAGTAATTTTATAGCTAAAACGAGGTTATTTTTGCAAAAGTACCACATACCCATACTGATCGAAATATCCACCTCGCCCCTCGGTTCCAAAATCTTCTCTGAACACAATCTGGAGTGGACAAAAAGCCAAATGTGGGAAACCATGTCCAATCATAGAAATATTATTGCTACTTGTTGTAAAGTAAGAGTAATCAACCAACCTGTACATTCGCAATGTTGTCACGGTTCCAGAGAGGTAAGAATAAACGATTTGCAAAACGAAGTACCAACTGCAATGTTTTACAGGAAATGAAGATTAACGAGCTTCTTTCTAGCATTTGCTGCTGCATGTAATACCCAGTAACTCAGCCAGTTAAGGCAACAAGTATTACCAAGTTCTGCACCAATTCTTTCCCCAGATAATGATCTATACGATAAATCTGCGGTTCGTCAAATAATTCTCCTATCTGGGAGCTCAGTTCCTCTGCTGAAGCCAAATCCTTGCCGAATGGCTTCTCAACAACAATACGAGTCCACCCACCAAGATCAGCTGAAAAATACAACACCAGGGATTCACAATAACTCGCAACACATGCATACATGAAAAGCAAAAACACTAATCAAATTATGGTCTACAAACTGAGTGCATTTCTAATGTCATATGTCATCGGGATGAATTCATAAAAGTTCATCTTGCACCTCAAGAGCAGTAGCTGTCAATGAGGTTCGAAGCAAAGCAGTAGCTGTCAATGAGGTTTCAGATTTCACCAATGTTGAAGTATTCTGAATCAACTTGACCTATAATTTCTTCTATTCTATCAGTTCATTCCAGGGTTGGGGTGGGATAATTTTAACACCACTACAGTCAGTTCTGAAAACCAGACGTACACACAGCGAAAATCAGCAAGAAAGGAAATGCTACTTCTGAAATAAGAACATACACTTATTCATGGCATAATACTTGATCATTTTGCAGACTTGTGGATATACTGATGGGGGAAGTGCAAGGTAGAAAAGCCTGCGGGATGTTCCCTCAGTAGTGTTCCTCGAGACTTCGTGCTGGGATATTGCCTTATCTAGGGCTTGGAACCCTTCGGGAGCATCATAAGCGCCAGACACATATTTGATCTATGATGTCAGAGAATATTAATTCATATTAAGCTAAAAAAATAACTAGTTAGTTAAGCATGAGATATAATTGACAAGCAACAACAAACCAACTGCAGAAAATTTGACACGTCTTCCATGCCTTCTTTTCCATGGGGAAGATACCTACAACAGTTAAAGATAGTTGATGAATCACAAAATAGCCAAGAGTTATCAGATTCAGAAAACAATTAAGATGTAAGGAGATTCTAATATTCACTGCATCAAGGAACAACAATTTAATTTAAAAAAGTAAAAGGACAAGGAAGAAAAAACGTAGACGAATAAACATGCGCAATAGCCGTAAATTTAAGCTGAAGGACGCAGAAATCTTACCCCCGGATCCGTTCTCTCAGCTCATCATCTGAGATCTTAGTCCTTGCATAACCAAATATGTGAACCTCATTTGATTGCAAAAATCCCTAAACGTCCCAAGTCCAAAATAAACCTTAAGATGAGTGGCCATTCAAGAAAAAAAATTCATTTCTAGCTAATAAGAAACCACACATAAAAATAACCAATACTTCATAGCACGATTTCAGTCTAAAACCTAAATCCATCGTGTAACAAATTGAATGCAAATTTTTACTAGAAACAATATAATTTTTAAGTAACCTGACGGTAAAGGTTAAAAAGAGCAGGAAAAGTCTTCTTCTTGGCAAGATCACCGGAAGCACCAAGAACAATGATAGAGAGGAACCCAGTTTCTGGCACATTCTCATTCTCTCCAGCAAAAGACTCTTTCTTTCCATAAGTTCTTTTCTCACAGTGCCATTCACCCACTGCTGCCATCTCCAAATTCACGGCTACTGATCTGCGCAGTAAACAACGGTTCCTGATTCAACTATCTATTCGAATAATCAACAGTTTTGCAAAAACAAATCACTGCAAAAAAATTGTACAAATGATTGGCACATAATTTAAGTGGAGAAGTCCACTCACATAAACATCAGAAGGGTTTAAGTTAATTCTGAAATCCATTCAATCAGATTCATCAATGTACAGACAACTATTCGCGATCAAACCCAAAAATTATCCTCTAAAACTGAGCTCAATTCCGAAAGTTTTGGCCACAACGAACTTGTACTCAAAGCTGCAATTAACTTGAGAATTTTATAGTACCCACCAAGCAACAATAGATCCGAGAAACAAAAGGAATTCCGACAAAGGACAAGAATTAGACAAAATTAAACACAAGTTAAGGACGATGATAAGCAAGATCGGGTAGAGAAAAACAAATTACCAGGCAAAATCAGAAGCTCCTTCTCCTTCAGGTTCGCAAGTAAGTAGTTTGGTATGAAGAAAATGAAAATCAGAGCTTAGTGGAATGCGAAATGCGAAAGGAACTGTGTGATTTTGATCATCTGTTTTGGTAGTATTGTCAAGTTGACTTGCAAAATTCAGGAGTGGGGTTGGTGAAGGTTTGTTATCAACTTTCTACCTGGAGAAATTCCTATTTCCTACAGCTACAATTATCATTTCGAATTTAAAAATGCAAACACAAAAAGGAAAGAGAAATAATAATTGACTGCAACATCAGACCGGCAACAAAAGTTTGGGCCGTTGGCTCCGGATTGGCCTGACTGTAGCCTTTATTCTTATGTTGGGAGTTTACACTTAGGTATTATTCTATTGGAGTCTTTTTATTTCTGTATTTTTTCGTTGTGGTTTAGTGTTGATGTCGTTGTGTGATGGTTATTCTAGCTTTGTTAGTTGGTACTCCGTTTAGGTTGCATTAGTTGTGTGTGTAACCTCCCATTTCCCGACTTCGGGCTCGTTTGTGTACATTGCCTTTTTTTGGCCTTTTTTATGAGTATGTTTATGCCGTTTGAAAAAAAAAAAAACAGGCAACAAAACCCGTTTGGGTCCGGCAGGAAACCATTTGGCTGTAAAACTCGTCAATTTGGGTAAAAATGGCCAGATAAAAAAGTAAATCGTTATTCACCGCTCCCTATTACTACGTACCGCTCCTTCTCCCATTTACGACCATTTACGAATTCGCCCTTCACCTAAATCTCTGACTTCTCTCTACTCTCTGTATCTCTCTAAAACTTTTGATTTCAACAAGCCATTCTAACTTTAAAAAAATTCTGAAAAAATGTCAAAAAAATCACACGGCCTCGGGAAAACATTATTCTCCACCAAGGTATTTTTTTTTACATTTTAAATAATTTTTTTATTATTTTTTATATTTTACTGTCGCGTCCGACCAGCGCTACCGGACGCGACTCGGGCCGTACGGAGCGTAATTGCGTATGGCCCGCGGGCGACCGGTCGCCCGCCGATGGCGCCCGACCTCCGCCATTCCTGCGTTGCTTCCGAGGCCAGACGGTCAGTCAAAACCCGACCCCGCCGGTCGGACATAATTTTTTTAAAAAATATAAATATTAATAAATAAAATATTAAAATAATTATTTCAATAAATATTTTTAAAAAATAAATTAAAATTATTCTTAAATAAAAACTTAAAATAATTATATTAATTAATATTATAATAGTAATAAATAAAAAATTTAAAATAATTAATTTATTTGATTAAAAATTTATTAATTATCATAATAGTAATAATAAATTACTAAATATTATAAAAATAAAAATATTACCATAATAATAATAATTATAATCTAAAAGAAAAAAAATATTATATTAATAAACAAAAAATTGTATAAAGTAATTAAAAAAATTATATTAATTATCATAATAATAATAATAATAAAATAGTAAATATTATAAAATTAATTAATTACCATTATAATAGTTATTACAATAATTATTAAATTTGAGATTAATTACTAAAAATACAAATATATAATTTATTAAAAGATATATATATATATATATATTAAAGAATATATATAATTTATTATAACTATTTAGAAGAAAATATATGTAATTATCGTATTATATATTTATTAATTTATATATATTTAATAATTTTACTTCAAATTGTTCATTTAGGGTATTCGTATACTTGGACAAGCTGCCAGGAATGACGACGAGGCAAATGAGTGTTATCAAGGTTCTAGACCCCGACACACTAGAAGTCGGAATGTAGTTGCGTCCGTTCGTCGAGAACGACAGACGATGATCGAAGAGGCTCGGAGGATACAGACTAGTCAGGCTGGCCAGGCAGACAGTTCGAGAGTGAGATTCCCCGCACCAGCACCGGTTGGTCAGCAGGGATATTATTATGCTGGGCAGACACCCCCCACACCAGTACGGTACGATCATCAGGGATATTATTATGCTGGGCCGGAACCCCCCGCACCAACACCGTACGGTTAGTAGCCATATTATGTTGATGAGTCGGTAGCCCAGAGGGAGCCTCCTGCAGATGAGTCTGACGAGTACGACTCTTCATATGATCAGGACGTTATTCCTTCTCCTCTCCCCCCACCTACGACTCCTGCACAGCCTGCGGCTCCTGCACGGCCTGTTCGGCCTGCTCCTCCACGACAGGCTAGGGGGCGTTTTGCTAGCACTAGATGCTCAGGTAAATAATTTACGTATTTGTAGTTGTTTAACTTTAATATTTTGACTTAATAGTAACAAATTATCGGTACTGCTAGCGGCATTATGTCATGCATATATATATATATACATATATACATATATATATATATATTCTATTGTAAGGCAAGTACTAGAAAACGATCTAGGACTGAACATGAGGCAACCTGGGTCGTTAGAGGTCCAGTGCTCGGTGGGCCCATTGATGGGAGTGGCATCCCTAGCTTTCTAGGGCATATAACCTCCCGAATGTGGAATGGAGAGCTTCGAGGCATACTGAAATGCCATAACAGACAGCAAGCGCTGGACAATCTGAATAAGTGGCCTGGTGATATGTCTTCCGATGCACAGGATCTGATCAGAAAGATCGGGCTGTCATATCTGGTACACTCCACGCACAACCACTTGGACACTCCACTGCTTTCTGCATTTGTGAAGCGATGGCAGCTGGATACCAACTCGTTTCACCTGCCTTTTGGTGAAATGAGCATCATGCTACACGACGTCTGGGCCATTTTGGGGGTTCATATGGATGGAGTCATGGTTGTTGAGGACCCGGATACAGACGCCTGTCAGGCGTACTGCATGGAGCTACTTTCGGCCACGAAGGTTGAGCTCATTGCGTCATTCTGGCAGCGTGGTTCGATAGCCAAGGCCTTTGTTATGGACAAATTTAGGGGCAAAGGCCAGTTGACTGTGGATGAGGTTGGTGCGTGGATCTGGGTGTTGTTGTCTACCACCTTGTTCGTCGACTAGTAGAGTGAGTCCCAAGCTCATTGTCGAGGTGCTCGACGGCTTGGATACCATTGGGGCTTACTCATGGGGATTGGCTACGCTGGCATACTTGTACCGACAGTTAGGTATTTCCAGCAGAGAGGACTCACATGGGCTATCTGGTTGCTTGAGTGTTTTGCAGTCATGGATATATGAGTATTTCCCCGATCTCTGACCCTAGGGGCGTCTACCCATCGGTCTTGACGACGTCGCACGATCTCACTCGTGGAACATAGTGGTGACGCCTTAGTCAGATGCCCGTCTCAATTCTATCCGGCGCCTTAACAGACTCAATGCCTCCGATGTACGTTAAGTTATTTTATTTCAATCTATTTACTCGTAATTTAAAAGAATATAATTATTTTCTAAATGCTTTTATGCAATTGTGAACAGGTGCAATGGTTGCCATATGGTAGCTCCAGTCCAGATGAGATGGAGCCGAGGACTCTTTATTGCAGATTGATTCAGTACCATGATATTGTCGAGTCGTACTTATCTGTGCGGTTTATGCGCCAGTTGAGGTTTGTCAAGACCGTCCCTCCCCCTATGGCCCCGTCAATCACTGCAGTATGTGCTTGGGAGTCGAGGCTCTACAAGGTTGAGCATTCTGAGGAGTCTGCAGAGGTATGTGGAACCACTTCCCGATCTCGTAGACCGTCAACATCACTATGTTGACCCCCAGCACACATGGTCGAGAGGAGGCGAATGAGAGTACTTGCAGTGGTACCGTCAGGTTCCCATCCTACTGTCTTGGGCGAGAATGTGCCAGACGAGAACGAGGTCCCTATGCGTGCCAATACCGATATGTAAGTCGTTTGCTAATTTTAGTTAATGTTACTTGATTACAATAATTTTTTTTATAAATATTTATCATATATTTTTATTTTTTTCATTTTTTGTAGTGGATGGAGCGTTGCATGCACATTACATCGAATTGTCTGCGGGATTTCACAGGTGTCGATCCTGTGATGGCGGCGCAGTACGCAGAAGAATTGGCTAAACTTAAGTTGGATTACGCCAATGTGAAATAATGATGTAATGACTGTTTTTTTTTTTTTTTTTGTTGTAAAACATTAATGAGGTTGTTATACATTATTTATTTTGGTTATACTACATTTGAACTAAAATATTCTATAACAATAATGTGTGACATAATCATTGTGAAAATGGCGATAAATAAAAAGCCCACAAGAGTCGAATGTATAGACACGAGTTGCGTCGGTGGCCACACGACTCGTGTGCTAGACCTCACATGAGTCGTGTGGCCTCACACGAGTCGTGTGTTTCACCCACGCGACTCGTGTGGAAATGTCGAACCCATTATTTATGTTCGGCATTTCCACACGAGTCGTGTGGGTCAAGCACACGACTCGTGTAACCTCACATGATTCGTGTGGCTGCCCACACGACTCGTGTAGAAATGCCGAACATAAATAATGGGTTCAGCATTTCCACAGGAGTCGTGTGGGTAAAGCACACGACTCGTGTGGACTCACACGACTCGTATG